TAGAATAATTTCGTATCTGTATGTTATTTTTCCCCCTGTATAACAACCCAGTGGCACACTCCAACTATTAGAAATATTCTCTTTTAATTCTGTTTCAAAATTGTGTTCTTTATCATTACTGATATGCAATCAAAGAAAAAATCACTGCCTATGTAAGATCTTAACCAAAATATGTACTACAATATCATCATCATATGCCTACAGCTCTATGATAAAAAGATACCTGAAGAAATGTATAAAATTTGTATTTTAATACAAATTCTTAGAAATGGCAGAGGGAAAAGTAGACCCTTTTCAAACAGAAAATAACCTTTAGATCCCTTATTTTCAAGCTATGATGTATGGCTTCAATATGTGAATTAACTGCCTTAATATAACTAAAATAATTCATTTGAATGTCTAACATTTTTTCTCCCATTTTAAAATATGTGATCTTAATAAGAAAGCTGCAGTGGTTACTTCACCTCTGTTGACTATATTGAATATCACAGAATCATCAATGTTGGAGGAGACCTCTAAGACCATCAAGTCCAACCATTAACCTGCCACTCTGCTGGAACCCCTAAACCATATCCTCCAGTGCCAGATCTAAGTGCCTCTTAAACCCTTCCAGGGATGGTGACTCCACCACCTCCCTGGGCAATCTATTCCAGTGCCTGAACACCCTACCTGTGAGTTGATCTATGGAATGTTTGGCCAGCAGAGAAGGGAATGGTCTTGGAATGTATGGGCAAAACCTTCTTGTGTGGAACAGGTGCTTTAAATCACAAATCACTTCTCCTAATTGCTACCTCACAAGCTATTGGAAGAGGATTTCTGCACCTGACTCCTGTCTGGCCAATCAGTGGATGGAACTTCAGTTCTTCTTGCTGCATTGTTTGCAGAAACAAACTTATTCAGAGTATTTGTAGATGTTGCTTAAATCTGTACCCAAAGGAAACAGTGTTTCCAGCAAAAGTCTAAGGCTGCTTCGGGGGGTTATAAAGAGGAAATGTTTTAACCCTTAGATATGTCTCTAGAAGAAAAATACATTTTGCTTTTCAAAATGGTCTTGTTCTGACTGCGAAAGCACTGCTGAGATCTGTACTTAATATGGAAATAAATCACTGTGAAAATTCAAAGCAACCCCTGTCTCTGGTATATGCTTTCAGCGCCAGCATTACTCAGTGTATAGTGCTGTGTTCCCAGGTGTAAAACCAGGCTGTTTTTTTTCCTAACGATCAGACACAGTTGTTGCTACTCATTTGTTAGCACAGTTACCTGTTTTCTGGCATGGCAGAGCTCTCCTTTTTGTGAGTTCCTGGAGGTGTCTGTGCTTCCTCAGGCTGCATTTGGTAGCCTACACAACTAGGGCAGCAGTGTGAAAAACAATGCTTTCCCTGTGGAATGGCTCTCTTACATAAACCAATATTACTATTTTTGCTTTCAGGTCTCATCACATAGTTTTGTGTGGTAATACAAACAAATGTTAAAATCACCTGTTTTTCACTTCTACACAACACAGTGTGTGCCCTCAGTGTGGATATGCCCCAGGAGAGTATAAGATGTGCTTGCTTATACTGTGGTCGGGGCAGTTGGTGCATGTCCCACTCCACTGTGCAAGTGGGACACTGCTAACAAGGCTGCACAAGAGCTGAGAAAGGCTGGATGTCCATGTGGCTGTAAAACTTGGGCTTCAGACTCTGCCCTAGAGCATGTCTCTTGCCAGCCATGGCTGAGGCTGCCTGTGCTGCTTCCAGCCAAAGTGTGCTGACTCTGCTTTGTGCCCAGCCATCACTCTGCTGATCTGGGACTGAAGTTAACCAGCTGCAGCTCCAGGTAAAGACTCGGCCATTCTCTGTTCATCTGTCAGGTTGAGTGTGGAAGGCCTTTTAATGTCCAAGGGTACTCAGTGTCATAATGAAGCCAGATTTTCATAGAATTGCTGTGCTGCTTCCAGCCAAAGTGTGCTGACTCTGCTTTGTGCCCAGCCATCACTCTGCTGATCTGGGACTGAAGTTAACCAGCTGCAGCTCCAGGTAAAGACTCGGCCATTCTCTGTTCATCTGTCAGGTTGAGTGTGGAAGGCCTTTTAATGTCCAAGGGTACTCAGTGTCATAATGAAGCCAGATTTTCATAGAATTGTACAACTTTAGGGATTGGAATGGACCTTACATCCAGTCCAGTCCCAACCCCCTGCCCTGGGCAGGGGCACCTCCCCACTGAACCAGGATGCTCAAGGCCTCATCCAACCTGGCTTTGAACACTGCCAGGATTGGGGCAGCCACTACTTCCCTGGGCAACCTGTGCCAGTGTCTCACCATCTTCAAAGGAAACAGCATTTTCCTAACATCTAGCCTAAATTTCCCCTCTTTCAATTTGAATTCAATACCCCTTGTCCTGTCACTGCAGTTCCTCACAGAGAGTCCCTCTCTGGCTCCCCTGTAGCCTCCCTTCCAATACTGAAAGGCTGCTATGAGGTCTCCATGCAACCTTCTCTTCTCCAGGCTGAACAGCCCCAACATTTTGATAGGCATTATTGAATGCTTTTTTTCCTGAAGTTTGGCTCTTTGTGTTCCCCAGTAACAGTACTATCAGTTCCACTGGCAGCAGCTGCTTCTCACTGTGCTCAGCCAGCTGTTCATTGTGAACAGGCCTCTACAGCATGGTTAACTCTGAAAATTAACTGAGTTGCCTTAGTGACAGACGATTTATAAACTCATCCTCAAGACTCTGCACAACTCCAGAGTAGATCAGTAGTTCACCTCATTAGGTCCCATCATTAACATGGGAATTTGCAGAGCAATTTCTACAGTCAGCAAAGCTTGAGTTGTCTAATTGTATACATGTTTGAAAATGGGAAATGGTAACACATTTGTGCAGTAAAAGAGCCCAATGTTGAGCCCATCAAATACAAAGTTCTGTTAGTTCAGCAGTCAGATGAAAACTTGTTTCAGCTTGGTTGCCTGATTTTGTTACATGTCCCAGTACTATCAGCAGGTCCAATTACTGTTGTGTATCTAAAGAAATGGGTGTTTATTATATGACCAAAATACACTGCGAAGTAAACAAGCTGTAGAACTGCAAGCTGATTCCAGTGCATAATTGTACAGGACAATGAGTCATTTCCATTTAAAGAAATGTACAGAAATAAAACTGATACAACGTCCAACACTCAAAAGTAGCTAAACAATACTACAAATTGGAGATTCACCTTCACTGTGGTTAAAAAAAAAAAAAGCTTTAGCATTTGTCAATGATGAACAGCAACAGTGCTGTATTGGACTATGTTGAACTTATCAGGAAAAAAGCAACACAGCTTCTGTAAGGAAAGTCAGATTTGTATCTTTTAGAGCTGATCTATATTTGCAAGTGGTGGTTAAAGAAAACTAAAATAAAATGGCAGGCTAGGGCTCCTCACACCCAAATTTAGGCAACCGAGGCACTTAGCTTTGTTGGTGCTCTACAGTCTTTATGTAATCAAGACAATGTAAACAATTCACCCCTGAATAGGTTAAATGCAGATATTATCACCTTCACAGTACTGTTCAGTTGTTCATTCCCTATGTCAAACTGCACAGAGGAAGTAGAGGATGGGGGAAAAGGCTGAGACCTTGCAAAGCATGCAAGAAAAAATACACAACACTCACTTCAGAACATTATAACAAAATGATCTAGTGTTTTTTATTTTGGGTAACAGCCAAGAAATCTAACATTTTGCCCAATATGGCTTTCTTCTAAAATTAAAAAGTTGCATATACCTACAGTTGAGTCCACCAGCTACAGAAAATCTGCTGTATACATCCTTAATCCATGGCAGCATCACCAGAATACAGCTTTCAGTGGCGTTTTCAAGCTGAATTATAAGATAGAAGTTTTTAAATGTTCATTTAGAAGATTTTTATATTGTTAATATGAAAACATACAAATTTTTCATTTATACATATACTACATATAAAACTCATTATAATTAGCAAGTATCATCACCTGGGTATTTACCTTTGTGCATATAGCAAAAAAAGGATGTAGTTAGGGCTTCAGATGAAATATTAAATTTCAAGACCTTTGTATATGCTAACTAGAACCTTATTCAAATAACTGAAACATTTTTTTTCTGCTTTTAAAAGATAAGAGATTCAGCTTAAAAATACATTCATAAAACAAAGACAATGTTCTCCCTGAGACTACCAGTGTGAGTTACTTTGTGGTAATCTTTGAATGAAAAAATATAAAAAAGACAATAAGCTCTAGTTCTCTATATGCTGCAACAAATTTCTCGAGCAACACTGACATCATAAAAGGTACAGATTGGGGAATCATGCTCACTAGCTGAAAAAAGTTTCATATATCACTTCAAGAAGAACAAAAAAATTTAATATAGACAAGGGAAAATAATTCAGTTTTAATGAAAGATCTGTATCTAGTATGTATAAATGGGAAAAAGTTGGGTGGTTGTTTTCCAATTGTTTGTTTGGGTTTCTTTTCATTTCAGCTGTGATTTTTATCCCAAGCAGGACTGTATGCTCAAAATGCAGATTCTTGATTTATGCAGAGATACTTAGTACAGTTTTATGAAGACTTCAAGGATCTGTTTTTGTTCAAATTCAGAAAAGAAATACACAAACTGTGGGAACAAGATATGCTTAAAGTCAATGATAAAATGTTTTGATTCTAACTGGATGGCAAAGTCTCATGAGCAACAGGTGAGGAGTCAACCCCCCACCCCAGTGAACAGCTCCTGGTTTGTGGCTTTCTCGCCCTCTGAAAGCCACACCAGCTCCACTTCACCTCCTTCCTTTTAAGAGTTAGAAAAAGATAGTTTTTAAACTGCTACTAAGTAACAGAATTGGGATGCACTAAACATATTCTGCCCAAATTGGAGAGAGAGTGAAGGATACTTTTGCCTTTTACAATTTAAGTTGTATTTATAGTAACCATGCAATTATGTTATCTTGGGGAAAAGCCTTACCTGAAATCAAAGAAAACATATTTATAGGAAAAAGGGGGAAAACATTATGTTTGTTCTACCAAAATTTATTATGTAGTAATTACAAAGTTTAAAGATTCTTCCATTTTAAATAAAAATAATAGTTATAATTACACACATTGTATAGTACCATGTCAAGTGATCCCAACAAATATAACATGAAATACAGTGCAGTTTCAAATTAGAAAGACAAATACTTTCTCATTCACAGTGTTTGACAAATTACAGGAAAGCTTGTTCACATGAGGGTTTACTTAAGGTCATGCTCTTATAAACAGTCCACACCACTCTGTGCCACAAAGACAAACCATCTCTCAGAACGTGAAGTATCGGGCAAACCATTCCTGGCGTTGTGGATCTGGTGAAGCCACTGGTGAAGCATCAGTCTGAGGAGGGCTAAATTCACAGAAAGAAAAAACAACCAATTATCCACAACCACACAAAAAGTACAACTGTTAGGAGAAAAAAATATAAATTACAGAAAATATCCAGTACACAGTCTGGTTTTCCATGGATTAACTATCAGTGTGCCTCAGGACATGATTTAATGTCTCCCTATAGAATCTGTGATCATCCACTCCATTGGAGAGCATCAGCAGCATGGACAAGTCAGTTCAGAAGCCACATTACAGGGTGGGCAAAGAGTGTTTTGGAAAACAGAATTTAAAATCTCATCAACAGCTGTAGGTTTTCAGGAAGAATAAAAAGAGCTGTCTTGGGAAAGCAGAAGGTCCTCTTTTAGCATCCTTTTCCTGTGGTAAAGGTAATTTTGAACAATATGATGCAAGCATCATATTTGTAGCCATGTGCTCACAAAGACTGGCTGGCAACTGAACAGAAATACACACTACTTTCATACTTAACACCGAGCACAAGTATCACTTGCACTGCTGTTCATGCACACATTTATCATATGCTACTTTACTAGGAAAAAAGGAACTGCTGCACTGCAAACAGGATTTGGTTCCTCCTTGAACACTTAACATTCTCACAAAATGAGCAGGAGAGAATAATTTGAATTCAATTACACAATTAACTTCCTTTATCAATAAAAATCGGTAATAAAATAATCGCTATTATTGGATAATACAGAGCACAAAACAATCTGGAGTGGAAACTTCAGCATCACAGTCCATGGGGTCATGCACATGCACATTATAGAGAACTGAGCACACTCATGCACATCACATGCACAGGAAAACAAATTAGCAACAGTACTTTTTTAAAAAAAAATTGTTTTCTTGAAAAATATTGTTTTCCTTTATCCATTTTAGATTCTACCATTTGCTTCCCTTTATAATCAGCAGCTGTTAGGTATGTGGTCTTTTGCACGAAACCAAAGGAGAGAGCAACCAACCAAAGGTGGAACTGATAATTACACGTTGCTTTAAGTTGCCAACTTAGAGGTAAGAGATCAGCACCTACTGAATATGGAGTACAGCACTTGAGTGCATTTAATATTTGCACATCAAGATTAAATCCTGCCTCTAAAACATCATGTTTAAGTTACCCAATTCACTAGATTATTTTGTGAGAGAATTACTTGAGATTTTAATGCTGATTTTGATTACTGGAAGCTCAGCATTAAGCACCCAAGTCTGCACATTTCCTGTTGCTGTAATAAGGTTACTCCTAGGAAATAATTTGATATAGGTGAGGAAAGGGGAAACACAAAACATTCAGGTAGCACGGAAAATAATTTTCTTACATAAAATCCATTATCACATAATACTGAATAAAAGAAATTCCGTGCTAGTGTCAGTTCCTAAATGACAATCAGTAAATAACACAAACATCTAAAACAATTGTTCATATATGTAAACAATTGGAAGCACATGAATTCTGTTAAGGTATTCAGAGAGGTTTTCAAAGTTCAAGGCTGAGGAAAAAGTGAGAGAATACTTCACATTTCAACAAGGTCTACAATAAAAAGGAATACTATAAAGAGGTTATAAATATAACATAAAATTCAAAATGCTGTAAGAGTACTTGTACCTCTGAAAGGCTCATAAAGCAAGTGAGATTCAGCTCAATAGGAAAGCAAAATTTTCCTGAGTAAGCAGAAAAAAAGAAGAAAAAAAAAAGGCTGGTGAGGCAGTGCTCACCTCAAAAACGTCTTGGGCTCTTTGGGTGGCATTGGCTGTGGTAGTGGTTTGCTGCTGTTGAACTCAATATCGTGGATGGGTGAGTTAGGAATGGGGTCCAGGCGGTTAGGATGTCCATTGCCCACCACTCCGCTAGATTCCAGAGCACTTAGATTGGGAACACTCACAAACCTGTTTGTTGATTTATCATTCTTCTTCTTTTGCTGCATTGGAAATAACAAAGGTAAGGAAGGCTTCTTGCACCAGGACAGATGAGGACATTGGTAAATTAAAAAGGTTTACTGATGGCTGGTTTGGAGTTTTTTGAAGGAGATGAATTGGGACAGATTTGGCTCATTTTCCAGTTGTAGTTTTCTCTTTGCTTTGACCAGACCTGAACACCACAAACTTTTGCAGACAATTCAAATTTTTTATCAGGATAATTAGGATATTATGACTTTGTGTAATAATCGATGAGTATATCCCATGAGGTCTCTCAATAATAACATTTTACTCTATTTCAGACACTGGAGATTGACAGACTTGTGGAAAACTTTCTTTTAGTCTCTTAAACCTTTCATGTTTCCTTAAATCTTTTCTTGATACCCACGAAACAGCTCTGCTATCAAATGGAACTACAGCAAATTTCAGTGACTAAAGACATGGGTATCTTCAACAAGTTTCAGCCCATCACTGAGGCACATTTTGGTAACTGGAACATGGAACCTAGAAAAGCACCTACACTCCTTTCACAGCAGTTATTTCCTCATGGTCAGCAAGCATTACAGCAATACAGCTGAAGATAAAAAAATTCCTCTGCAGGACTTCAGCTTCTTGCACAAGGGAAAGGCTGGGATTGATGCTAAATATATCTGCCACTTCTAGACACCAGATGGCACAACTGAACATGTTTCTTTTCAGAATACTCTCTACACTTCTCCTGATAGTATTTCAAGGGACTCAAAATACTGAAGAAATTTATTCTTATATCACTATCCTACATTCCAGAAGATATCACACTAAGGAGTCAGTGTTCATCCTCTCTATTTTTATAGATAATTTAATGTAGAAGGAGTCTTCAAATAATTCTATAGCCTTTTTTAAAGGCTGTGTGACAGGACACGGTGTGTATTTTCTGACTTGTATCAAATATTCCATGTCCACAATAAAATATTAATATTAAAAGTGTCTTTTTTCCAAAAATAGCATTTTTTAACACACCCAGAGCAATGAAAAAAATCCCTTGCTCAGATATATAATGCATTATGTATTATTTCAATATATAATAAATAATTTCTTTCAATTACGTATATGCAACCCCAGCAAAACAGCCAGGAGAAAAAACCCTTAAGGGCTTACGAATACACAAATGTGAACAAGATAAAGCCAAAGACAAGTGGAATCTCATGTTGTTTCTATGTAATATTTTCCAGCAGAATTCCACTTGAAACAGGAGAGCTGCTCTATCTAAGTTTGGGCACAAGTTCAAACCGAGACAGACAGAGTCCTATTGTTCACACTTTCTCCTCATTAGCTCTCTGCTAGCTCTGATTCCAGTGCCTGACCTCTCTGGGGTTGGCAGATGCAAATGCTATTAATTGCAGCCACACTGGTGGATGTGTTTGTCAAAATACTATTAAAACCCCCCAACAATTAAACAGAAAGCTATAATAGAAGAAAGAAAAAGATCATCAGCTACAAAGAATTAAACTAAGATTGTCCCACACACTTGTGCTGCAGTAGCTAAAGAAGCAAGAAATAACATTATGGTGGAAGAAATAGTTTGGTAAAAGTAATGAACTTTATGTAAAATACACTTGCAAGGTAATGCATGCTGTAATTAAAACAGTGTGTTAAATGAACTGCAGTTAAATCTCTGTGCTCCATAGGTGGCTCATTTCTGGAAAATGTATATTATCCACATAAGTGCTTAGAAAAATACTACATTATATCATACTTGCTATAAAACAATCTGTGCTCCTGAAGCAGTCAAATCTGGAGAGAGAAAATTGTGTATTGTTTCCATGAAATTCATGCAAAGTATGAAGAAACTTCAGATGTAACAATGTAGGACTAAACAGATCCATTGCATAAGTGGGAGAAGCTGCAATACATACTGCAATGGCTGCGATTTTGCATTAATATGCAAAGGCTGTAGCAACTCATAAATTCTGTCTTTTTTTTACAAAAAAGAAAAGAGAATGAGGTTTTCGGTTTCTTTGTAATTCATTCTCTAATAACACAGTACGTGCTCTGACAAAATAAAGTAACATAGTCCACAACTCATGAAATGAGAGATCAGAATGTTCTGGCATACAAGACACTTTTAAGAGTTTAAACAGTTTTAAGTGATAGAAGCATATTGTAAAATATATGAATTATCACTATGGAAATCTGATGTTGAAGTACTTTTCCCAAACACTTCAGATTTCACACAAAACACAAGCTTATATACTTGACGGTTACATTTCACATCTTTATAAACGAGTGGTTCAGACAAACTTCCAAAATTTTCAAACAACCTTTATCACATAAAACCAAAGCATTCAAATTTTATCTGGACATCCTGGTATTGTCTCTACTGGGCCCAAGCTAAGTTCTTTCATGCAGTTAGGCGTAAAAATTAGGCATCCACAGATAAGCTTGTGAGAGCTGTTGGGCTCCTAAAACAACCACAGAATATTGACATCTTGCAGCAAAGTTGGTGCAGAAGTGGGAAATACACTGATCTGATGTGAAACTGTAATAAGGCTTGGCTAAATAACAGAGCCTGATCTCAAGTAATGGAGCCAGACCTCCTTTTAAATAACGTGAGCCTGAACCTTGATCACTGAAGCTCTCAGGCATCTGAGCTGCTCATGTTGTGCCCCTTGGGTTAGCCTCTGCTTCAGAGCCTTCCCCAGTTCTTCTGCCTCTACAGCTGGGACAAATCTCTTCCCCTTCCATGCAGGTGAAATAACCTATGAGTTACCACAAGGAGGAAGGAAAGGTCAGAGGACTCATTCTTATTCCTGAAGTGGTGAGAAGAAATAGAGTTAAGGAACCCTACTGCAGTCCATTCACATTCCTCATGAAGGAATGCTGCTGGCTGTGGAAGTGACAGGAAGGCTACTATGCCTGCATCTGCTAGTCAGCAGGATGGAGAGAACTGGAACAGGTTGGTACTGGAGTGCTTTCACTAGAGACTGACCTCTGTCTCCTGCTGCCCCCACTGTCTGTACCTGGTTTGTCACTCCAGCTCTCTGGGCTTAATCTATGTCTTTCTCCAATCAAGACTCATTCCATGTCCTTCTCACACTCTTCCTCTTTTCACCTTTATTCCCTTCCTTTTAGTGTCCCCTCTCCCTCTGTCTTTTTAATGTTCTTCTACCCTGAGCACTCACCAAAAAGTGCAAAGAGCCCTTGCACTTTCCAAAATAACCAAGAAAACCCATGAAACTAAAACCAGCTACTGGTGTCACTGCTCTCTATTGCATGCTACAGTTGTGCCCTCTGTTGCCTGTCTGTCACTTCTCTGGTTTGATTTTGCAGTTTTGGGAGAAGGAACTGTGTTTTATGTTATACATGTCAAGCAAACTAGAGCAACAGCATCAGTGGATCTCTCAACAACACAAAGGAAACAAACCTACACAGAAGTAGAGACAAATGGAAAACTATGTTCCTTGTTTTGAACATGTCTTTTAAGAGTGACTTATGTACAGACGCAGGCACACACATATACACATATTTCTTCTTTTTACTCTATCTTTAGGTTAGATTTGTTTTTCTTTACTTTAGCAATGAAGTCCATGGAACATACCTTCACCAATGGATTAATAACACCAACATTAGGGCTTGCATTAAACATTTTGTTGTAGTTAGTCTCCCTGTTAACTAGCTCCAGCTGATAGAACTTTTTGTCCTCCTAAAAAGAATAACAAATAGAAACTTCTTTTTATGCATTTTCAATCAGTTAGTGGCCAAATCTGCCTATAAAATGTTCTCAAATCAATTTATGTTTACATATTTAAAGAAAGTGGTAACTCTAAAAATTGCATTTCATATGTTTTATATATTGTTATATGTAATAATCTAAATAATTTCTATTTATGCAGTTCTGTGGTCCTGATAGTGAGCATAGCCTAATGGATTATGTACTGGGAAAGACTCAGTCTAGTTAACTTCTGATCTTTACTTAATTTTAATTTCCCCATTCCATCTTGCTTCTTAATTAGTCCCTAATCAGACTCACCCGAGTCAGAGTGTTGTGCTCTGAATTTGGGAAGCTCAGTGGATCAGGATATCGGTCTCAGAAACCTCACAGAAGAGACTATTTCTTACATGGCTTACATGGTTGGCTTACTCCAGGACCGGAGACAGGAGATATCTGACCAAGGATATACCAAGATATTTCTTGTCATAATGTACTATGCTTGACTGTGGAAAACACTCTGTATCTAATCAGTTTTACTGCTATGAAACATTGGAACCACAGGAACAATGTGTTAAAGAATATGAATAACATGCTAGCAGGATTGGTTCTTTAAATACATTTCAAACACTCTGAATTAGATTAACTTTTGTATCTGTCAAGATATTACACCAAGAGAGCAGAGAAGTCTTACAATCAATTTCTTTATGAGCTGGTCCCGCTCTGCAATTAGGTCTTTCAGTTCTGAGATAAGCTGCAAGTCTTCTGGTCTTGATTCTCTGTTTTTATATTTTTCTTCCATTTCTTCTAAACTTTATAGGAAAGAAGAATATCCTCTTTAGCCTGAGCCAGTGTTAAATGATGAGCGAATAGTCACATTTTTCAGTAGAACAAAAGAGAGTTCAGGGAGTAAAAACAAAAGGTGACTTTTCTTATCACCTTGAAGTAAACCAGCTTCTAAGTTTCTCATTCAGCTTTAGATAGTTAAAAAGCAAAGCAAACCAAAACAAGCTCCAATAATCATAACCTCTGCTGCAGCACCTAATAATCTGGGCAAAACTCTAAAAACTTAATATCCTTCCTGTGCATGCAGTATTAAGTTTTTGAACATGACCTCTTGAAAGCCAGGCTGAAAATAAGGCATTGGAAACCAGAATATGGGCAGGAGAATTACAGAAGACATAGCTAAAGTTGATTCTTATGTAAAATATATGAATATTAAATATAATTCTATGTAGTCCCTGTAAGTTTTAAAAGATGGCAATTCACTTTCTTGATGAGGAAAACCAATAGCATCTTTTTCTGTATTTTAATAGAAGACTGCTCTGAATAAAGATGTATATTTGTGATTCTGGAGAAACTGCATAGACAGAAAAAAGCTGGCAGTGTCTTCCTCAGTTCATGTGGAACATACTGGAACAAAAATATCCAAGAACACTGAAGACTAATAGGTAACTAACTCCTCTCCACAATAGTAACTTAGTACCAATTAGAGATGAAATAAAGGAATGAGCTGCAAAACAAAAGCAATAACACTTGGATATTAGGATATCTAGATTTAGAGAAATGTAACAACTGATAAACATTTGGAAAAAAGCAAGAGGAAATTTGAAATGCCTGGTAGGAAAGCATTAAAGGAGAGAAGTGAAATAAGCCAACTGAGAGAGGAATTGTACAAGTAACTGTGTAAATATCCTTTTTTCTTAAAGGACAAGTTTTGAAGACATGACAAGTTCAAATGACTCTGTCTCTTTTAAACAAACACAATGCTCATGATGCTAAAACATTGTTTCAGAGGAAACAGCTAAAACACATCTCACATGTGCAACCCTCATTTGCAGCCTTAGTGAACAAAGTCTCAGAACAGATTCAGGAAATTTAGCAAGCCCTTAGAAAAATCTATGAATTTAAATTGTTTAAATCAGGGCAAACTTAATTCCTCAAGATACCTGAAAGTAGACATAATTTCTCACTTCAGATAAATATTTTCTCTTCAAAAGCAACTGTGTGATTTAACTTTGATTTGCAGCTGAGAAAGCAGTTAATATTAAATTATATTGATAACCTTCAAATAACCTGTACATATTCTGAGGAGATTATATAATGTATTTACATAAAACAATATGAAGGAGAACAACATGACTGTTTTTATTTGCAGAGAAGGCATTTGACTCAGCAGAACAGAAATAGCCTCAGCTGGCTTAACTTTTGCATATATATTTTATGCTGGGTTAAGCTATTGTATACAGATCCCCAGAGTATAGCATAGAGTTACACACAGCTGCTATTTCATTTTCAGATACTTCAGTGAACTGGGGTTGTTTTCTGTTTCAAATAGATTTGCTTTTTTACATAGTTCATTTTTTACATAGTTTCCTCTTCTGACAGCTTCTTGCTTCAGTGTACATAGAGAGATAACACACTGAAAGACAGTGCAGGGCACCCTAGATATTGCTTGCTGACTTTAGACTATTGGCTGCTGCCCCACAGCTCTAAGTTGAGCAGGGAACCAGCTAAATTCAGAAAATTACTGGACACTGAAAAAACAAACAACTTAATATGAAAAAAAGTTAGGTAAACAGTTCCAAAACCTAGTTCTGGTGGCTGCTCATAGGCCTGTTTCTCACACAGGATAGATGCAGCAACCAGAAGGTAACTTACACCTAATTTACAGAATGGCAAGATACCACATTTATTAGGGCACAAGAGTGTCCAAGTGAATGATTACAAAGGAGTGAGAACTAGAATTTTATAACCATCTTATTTGAAGACAATTTCTGACTGCTCATTATCAAGAAACAAATACATGCATTTGGGCTTTATTGTCCATTTGTAACTGATACTTACTTAGAGAAGTTTTCTGTCATAAATTTAGAACCAATTCTTTTCTCCACCCTAAATATTTTGTGCTGCAAACACAAATCTCTCAGTGACAATGTTGTGGCAGGAAGCCCACAATGCACTAATGAAACCCGAGCCAGAAACTGTGACCAAATGGGTTATATATCACAGATACAGAATGAAGGATGTGTAAGACAGGAAAACAGTGGCTAGACAACACACACCACGTCTGCCCAGAGGTTGTCCAGTCTCAGGTGGCATTTTGACTCAGAGAAACTCTTAAGCATTCTGTTACTGTTGTTCTCCTATAATCCATTTCAGACACCAATTTTCCTTATCTTAGCAAACCTGAAAACGTTTGCACCATTTATGCTGCAATCACACTTCTTAGTAGCAAATACTGTACAGTTTACAAACTTGTTCAAGAAACTCTTGTGTCCTCAAAAGAAGATGCATTAAAGTTTGAGAAAAAGATATATGAAATAATGTTTTCTCTAATTTTCTAGGAATCTTTCCTACTTGAAATTTTTTGGTCTCAAACCCGTAATAATTTACTTCACTAAATTACCCTAAAGCTTATAGAAAAGTGTTGCCTAAAGAATGCAAGAGTAGGCCCCATACTTGACTGAGGTACTTGTACATCTGCTTCTCTGCAATATCTTCAGGAAGTTATGGACACCAGAATAAACTATTCACTCAAATGAAACTACATATATATTTTTTTTAACACAACAAAACTTACGAAATTTGTAAAGCTGAATTAATTTCCTTGAGCAGCTCTTGGGTCTTATTAAAATCTGCCAGCATGCTTTGTTTCTCTCTGATGTGATCTGCTGCCAAGACATCCAGCTCTTTCTCATGTTTCTTGCTTAAATCTTGCTCATGTACCCTGTTTAATTTATTTTTGTTAGAAAAAGAGTTATTCTAAAATCAGACTTGTTCATGATGATTTTCTGCGATGCTTCTAAAGGCTTTTACACAATATCAGACAACATAGAAGGAATTACTGGCTCATGAAAACCCACTACTTACTGTTCTCCAATCTTCTAGCTTATTTCATGGAAAGTGCATCTCCTTTAATGCTTTTTTTAAAAAATCAACAAACATTATGAATTTGGAAAAAAGAAAAACCACACCAAAAACCAACACTTGAGTGAACTGTTACTAAAATATGCCAAAATGTATCACTGAAATGCAGCTTGACCATATGGTAATACTAACTTTACAAGTAATGGGCACTGCTTTTCCTAAAGACTAAATGACACACAACATCACTTGATTAAGAGGATAAATTAAGAACTGCAAATGGTAACATCTCTTAAGTAACACAATATGTGAAACAAGACATACTTTTGCACTAGAGTGGAAAAATTCATACCTGATCTGTTGGTTTGATTCACTGTGTATTCTAAGAATTTCTTTCCCTTTGAACTCTAATTCCTTGGTCAATGCACTTATATTTTCATGAAGATGCAGAATCTCTTTGTCCAGTTCAGCTATATGATGGTCTCGGTGTCTCAGTTCATCTTGTAGATCTGATATTCGGCACAAAAATTCTGTCTCCTATGATAGAAGCAGCGAAAAATAGTTTAGATAGACTTGTCTCTCAGACGCACAATACTTGCTTTTGGAAGACACCAGCTGAGCAGAATTTTCTGTTCAGTAAGACAATTTTTTCAGTTTTTGATGCTGGCACAAATTATAATTAAAATGGACGTGGGTTTTGTTTGCTTTTAAAAATTGTGTACAAGTACAAAGAAAGAAGAAATCAAAGACACTATTTTCATTTGCAAGAAAAGTTCAAACCTGTCCTTGTCATTGCCTGTTAAAATTTGTGTAGCTCATCACATTTTCCTTTTTGCCCACACATACAATGAACAACAGATGCCACTAAGAACTAGGGGCCCAGGGATTAGCTTTTTCTGCCTCTTCAGCACATGATCCAGAGTTACAGGTTTTCCCCTTTACAGCCCCATTCAGT